TCTTTTTTCCAGATTTCAACTTCAACTAGCTTCTTTTCTTTTCTAATAATACGTCCGAACTCGCTCTCCTTGTTTTCTTTTCCTTTTATGAGGACCCATTCTTTTTTCCTCTTGTCACGTGAGATTTTCAGAGAAAGGGTAATATATTTCATTTCATATTTAAAAGGATCACAGCAATACTATTTTTGATGAATTTTCTACATATAGGTATCGCTTCAACCCGTAGAATATTATAATAAGTTACCTTCTGAACCCAATGTTGATCATGTTATAGTTTTAGAACCAATGATAGCTACAGGAGGGACTGCTGTTGCTGCAACCAGTATTCTTAAAGATTGGGGTATTAAGACAAAAATCAAATTTATTACCGTGTGTGCTTCGCGTCAGGTATTAGTAAAATAATTGTATTAATTCATAAAATTTTTTGTTAATTAATTATATATATATATTTACAGGGTCTTGAACATTTAACAAAAAACCATCCTGATGTTGAAGTTTTTGTTGGAGTAATTGATGATGTTTTAGATGATCGCGGGTATGTTTAAATTTAAAATTTTATAATCAACAATTGGAAATCAATTTTGTTCTTTTCATGTAAACCATTTTTATTATTATTATTATTATTATTTTTATTATAATAGTTACATTGTACCTGGCCTAGGTTAGTTTTGATTAATTCTTTTCGAGATGAGAATATAAAATGAATATTATTCCTAAAAAATGACCAATCAACCATCCAATCTTGTAGGTGACGCCGGAGACAGATTATATGATACACCACATTTAAATTAATTTATTATTCAAACGATTAATATAAGTATTGGCATCACATCATTACGTATTTTTACAATATTTGTAAGTATTTTTATATAGTTTTTATCTTTAACACGTATTTACTGAAATGTAGTTTTTCGATTTGTTCAGAACAATTCAAAAATATTTCCATGTTCGACATTTATTAAATTACATATACAATATAAAATAAGTTCGTTAGTCAGTTTTAATACTGGTCTTGTTTAAAATAACATATAATTGTATATAAAAAAGATTTACATATCATTTTCGACCTTTTCTTCCCTTCTTTTTTGAGGACGAAGCAGTTGAAATGCTTGAAGAAGCTTGTCCTGTTACTGGAGTTGAAGTAGAACTAGAAGTAGATCCAGTATCACTACTTTTTCCCTCTTTCAATATACCACTAGATACAGCTGGAGAATGGCTGGGTGGAAACTGCTGTGGATTATTTTTTTGAATCTCTGACATTACCGACGCCACTTGTTTAATTAATTCTTTACCTTTTTTCAAAGAATCATATTAAAAACTATTTTTAATGATTGGAAGTATTTTTAATTATTTAAATAAAATATAAATCGAAACTTACGCGTTGGAATATTACTATTGAAAGGAATCTTTTGATCATTAAATAATTGTACTCGTACTCTTCCGGGGTTAGCCCAATTTCTGGGATGTGTTTTACGTGGCTTTTTATAAAACAATATTCATGTATAAAATGTATAAATGTCATACAAAAAATTTTTTGAGTTATAAATAAATAATTCGAAATGAAAATGCGAATTTTACCTCAAAAACGCAGGATAGACCCAAAGTCTTTACGGATTCGGCGAGATCTTTTGCTAAAGGATTCGGTACAGCAAGTTCTCTAATAACTTTTCTTCCTTCTTGGTGTGATTTTGTTGAATCAAAGTAAACAGGATACAAACATACCCAACTACATAAATAATCTATTTAAAATCGAAGATAAAATTTGAAAAACAATTGGTGAAATAATTTTTTTTTCAGCATACGTTTTATAAGCACTATCGTCAGTAGCAATTTTAGTGAAAGGTGGAACATCGGGCAATTCAAAATCTGGAGGATCATCTTCCATTTGTGTCATCGATAGTGAAAGGTTAGAAGGTGGAAAGCCTCCTAGCATTGGATTTTTTGAATTTTGTTTTTTTCCTTTTGGCATTTTTACGAAATTGCTAAAGAAAATGAGTTACTCTAAATATCATTTTTGACTGGATAATAACTTTGATTATTAGTGTTACACAAGTGGTTTACGGGTAGGTACAGTGCGTATCTGAGGGCTTTAAAAAAGCTGATCTCATACGTTTATGTATAACAGGTGATTTTACGTGATGTACTGTAAATACGCAGGAAAAAAAAAATATATTAACATTAAAAATATAAGAATGCTGTATACATTCTTTTTCTAAGTTCACAAAAAAATATAACAAAAAAAAAAGAGAAAAACTTAATTATTCTGATTTAATTGGTTTGATATCGATTGTAGACAAAAGAGCGATAGTATGCAAAGAGCCTAATTGAATCATCTCAAATATTTAAATATATCGGCAACATAAGTATTACTTATCCGAGCTTAACGAGTCACAAAAACAATATCTAAGAATGGAAGATATAAGAAAAAGAAAGCAGTATGCTTATTTTAATCGTTTGTATTATCTTAATATGATCAGACTGCCAAATAACTTTTGGTTATTTGGCAGTCCGACAATAGTAAGACATCGGATAACACCGTTATTGGATGTCAACCAGATAATAGAGTTATTTTGTAAAAATAACTCCTGTTATTGAATATTTCACATCCAATAAATATATATTATCTAAAAAGAAATGTTAGTAAATGTACTAGAGGAAATGTTTCTTTATTACTGTATTTGTTGCAATGGGAGTTTCAAAATTAATGATTCATGAAATATTAAGGTATTTATTTCGAATTGAGGCATCTACGAATCCTTGAATCCTATTTCTTTAAGTTTATAAATTTCATAACTGAATGTTTCTGTTTAACTTGCTGATTTTGGAATTTAAAAACAATTTTAAGACTCATTATTTCAAAATAAATTATGTAACATCCTAATATGGGAGAATGGCCCCATTTGTAAATGGGATGCTGAACTATAAAAAGTTTATAATCTCAGAAATTTAAAGAATTCAAGGCCGATATATGAAACTATTATTTGTTAAGCAGAATATAAGAATGAGATGAGTGATCTAAAAAGACTTGGGTGCATGCAATTCATTATCTTTCAGGGCTTATGATCCCAGAAAGATTCCAATGTCAATGTATAAAGTGCATCATCTTTATTATAGATCACACGATGAGCGTCTAACCCATCTTCCCACATAAAGATGTATTAGACGTGATCTACAATAAAAAATAGACAAGAAAACAATGATTGGGCTAATGCCCAAATTTCACAAACGCGCCCTAATATATCTCATATAATTTTATTGTGAAAACAAACCAATCATCTTAATAAGTTAAATATTAACAAAAAAATAAAATAAAATAAGTTAAATAGTAACAATAAAATAAAATAAGATAAATAATTATATTTTTTAGAAAAATTGCTTATACTATCAGATGGTAAGCGTAGATATTACATCGTACATTACAAAGGTTTGTATTATAGCCTTTTTTATAAACATTCTTTGTTCACGATGTCAAAGTAATGGAAAGGTAAGATCTTTGAATTATTTTAGCGTATTCTTTATCGAATCTAATAGTCATTATTGTAACTTAAACAACTACGTGTTATTTATTTCATCCAAATTATAAACTTTATAGAATTATATTAAGTAAAAATAATTGTTTACTTAAAATATTTCTCAAACCTAAAACTAAAATTTCAACATTGTATACGTAGCGCACATGAATGAGACGATTTGTTATGTAAGTTATGAATTTCTGGGCCTGTTCAAAGTGAATTTACTACGTAGAAGATTTGTAAGTGCGAATTTTTATATTGTAATTGTATTATATTAATTATGCATGCGTACTAAATCTCACCACTAAAAATTTTTACTTCGAATTTGTTGAGGTGAGTGTCTCGATCAAGGTTTAGAAAATTTCAAAACGTCTATTAAATAGAAGCGCAGCAAAGATTTTTCTTAAAACTTTGATAAAGATATATCGACACCTACTTAATTAAATTCAAATAAGCATTTTTTTTTTTATCTTTAATCCCGTCAAGATCGTATGGGCGAAAATTTTTGATGAGAATGCTGTGATTATTAAGTGATTAAGTGATATGATGGGGAAAAAAAAGTAGTGATTCATAAGTATTATGCAGTTTTATAAGCGATTTCATAAGCAATTTTATAGCTAAGAAAGAATTGACTAACCAAATAACGATTTCATAAGCGTTTCATATAAGCAATTTATAGCTAAGAAATGCAATTGACCAATCGAATAAAGTTATACAATTTGGTTATTATGCTATTATCACGTAAACGATTGGACGATACATGATGTATATTATTTTGCAACTAACTAGGTAATTCACAGTATTACATTCGACTCAAATATACAGTAATTGCTTTCTCGTAGTACGTACGTACAGTATCAGGTATGTCAAACATATTTAAATACCGATGCTTTTTAACAACTAAATTTCTCCGTCAAAAATCAGCAGATATGAATGAATCGGATGAAATATTCTGGCTTGGTTATTGTTATGAACACGGAATTGAGGTTAAAAAAGATGAAAACAAGGCATTCATTCTTTATCAAAAATCAGCAGACTTTAATAATTCTAACGGAATGTATCAAGTCGGCTTATGTTATTATCTAGGAATTGGGGTTGAAATAGATAAGTATAAAGCATTTATATATTATCAAAAATCAACTGAGGCAGATAATTCTATGGGAATTTATAAAACAGCTCTATTACGGAATTGGTGTGACAAAGGATTATGACAAATTTACAGAATGGATTACAAAGTAGGTTATTTGTTAATCGTCATTATAATTGCATTTTTATTTTTAATTAAATTAGAAATTTAAATATTTCTTCAAATAATTGAATATTTTAGATAGTAAGTACTATAGTCAATTTTTAAGCTATTTAAAATTAACAAGAATTTACTAACAAAATGATTCTTTAATTATTTTACTTAGTGCGTAAGTATAAAACCATTTATTGGGATAGTTTTTAAATTATCATAATATAACAAAAATTATTCTAATTTAGTTTGTGAGTAAAGCAAATTTATTAATCTATGTATTTAAAATAAGTTATTCAATTTAATATTTAATTTTCATTTTTATTCGCATTAATTTAGTCTGTGAGTATAAAGAACATTTATTAATCGATATATTAAAATAAGCTATTCAATTTAATAAATATTTGATTTCATTTTATTCGCGTTAATTTAGTTAGTGAGTATAAAAAACATTTATTAATCGAGTAATTAAAATAAGTTATTCAATTTAATAAATATTTAACTTCATTTATTGAATATTTAATTTCATTTTATTCTTGTTAATTTAGTCCGTGAGTATAAAGAACATTTATTAATCGATGTATTAAAATAAGTTATTTAATTTAATAAATATTTTATTTATTTTATTCGCGTTAATTTAGTGAGTGAGTATAAAGAGCATTTATTAAGAGGTAGTTCGGCTCTGAAGGGTATAAAAAATAGCAATTTCATAGTAAAAACGGCGGAACTTAATATGGATTTCTATAATGTAGGAATGGGACTTTCTTACATATAAAAGTATTTATTACTAAGTAAACCTTTCTTGACTTCTAAGAAAAATTGCAGAGACGATTATTTTCGTTCTAATGGTGGTAAAATCATCGCAAACGGCCCAGTAAATTCCGAGATATCGGTACTTTAATTTTTTTTTTTACTATACGATTTTTACTATTGCAAAAAACTTTCGGCATTCCATCTTAATAGAAATCAAGCAAATTCTTTTTTAAATTTTTTTGAAACTTTAAACAACAATAACTTAATAAAAAAAATTTTGACTATTGCTAACTTACCCCCTAGGTGAAATCACCTATATATATAATATTATATATATAATATATATTTTATAAATTATTATATGTATGTATATATTATACCACTATTATTTATATTATTTATTATGTTCGTTATATATACTGATACATCTACATGACGTCATTTGTTAACTAGCGCTAAACAAATCAACCTAAATTATACTCCAACCCTTACCCTAACCCTAACCCTAAATTAGGCCGAGTGTTATCTGGGTTCAGTGTTCTTTAATATACCCCAATCATCGTGATCTCTATATAAAGATCACTTTAAAAAAAAAAGACTATGTATAAGAACTTTTGGAATACCCAATAGATAGTACTACACGATAGCTTTATATAATAGTGTAATTGGGTAGTTGCTACAAACAAGTTTGCTAGAGCAGCCTCTCAAAGTTTGCATAGCTGCCGCAACATATACGGTAATTAATTAATTGTTGGACTCTGCGGACTGCTCTAGTAAACACACTATATTACTTATGTATCTAATGCTATATAGTAGTTTCATAACCAACCAGAATATCATGTAACTTGGTTATATTTTAACTATAAACACTTAGTATAATCGATCTTTTATAGATGTTATCAAAATTCTGGGTCAGAATATATCAGAACTCTGGTTGAATGAGCTAATTATACTAATGAAACCATAGTTGTTCATTAAGTAAAAATTGCCCAGTTGATAATACTATCATATAGCTCTTGCTAACTAGTATAGTTAATCCTAACCCTACCCTAACCCTGACCTGAAAATTTGTTGTTCTATATATGCATATATTCTAGTGCATGCACTTACCGTTACGTATAAAGGTTTACTACGTATAAAGTATACTTATATATATTGCTACATACAGTTGACATACTCTAATTGAATATACGTAGTATATAAGTATACTCACTAACCTTTATATTATTTGCGATATAAAGTCAAAGCCTAGTTCAGTAATACGTATACTATAACACTAAAACATCTTTCTGCGAAATTTTTCATAAACTAGTAGCAATCAAATTTTTAACTATGCTAACCTATATATATATTACATCGAAAAGTGCTATGTAGTATTTGATGTTAAATGTTCTCTACTAACCTCTAAATATCTATTTTAATAATTATCATAATTATAATAATTATAATTATTTTTTTTTTTATTAT